TGTGTGTGTGTGTGTGTGTGTGTGTGTGTGTGTGTGTGTGTGTGTGTTCTGTTGGTGGAAGGGTTGGTGGTTAAAAAGCAAGTTGAGACTTCCTCTTTGAACAGTTCATTTCATTTTGTTTGAGGCTGGACAGAACTGAAAGCAAGCCAGACACCCAAGCAAAGGGCATGATGGCTAAGAAGCCCCCGAAACCTGCCCCTCGCAGGATCTTCCAGGAAAGACTAAAGATCACTGCTCTACCCCTGTACTTCGAAGGTTTTTTATTAGTCAAACGGTCTGATCACCAGGTAAGTTTGTAGATGATAGTTTTAACCCTGAAAGTTTGCGCTTAACACAAAACTGATCTCATGACGACGTGATGCGATGAAGCCTCCTTAGTACTATTTGGGTTATACCCTCTTCCTTCAGTTAGCAGACTGATGCTAATTTTGAACAACTTAAATACAATGCACAGCATGTATACATTTATATGCATGTAGTGTAAGGTTTCTAATATTTAGTCATAATATAAAAATCTAAAGAAATTTCCAAAGGATTCTCTTAAGCATCACTCGAGATTTTGGCTTTCAAGATAAATGGTGGTTTTTTTATTTGGTTTTTTTTTTCCTTTTCTTTTGTTTTGCTTTATGTTTTCTCCACAATTTGCTAGTATGCTTCAGTGGTAAAGAATTGCATGAAGATAAGGTGATTTCATGATGAATTGAACAACCTACTCCTACTCTAAATCATACTGTCATTTAATGAACAAATTGTAAGACATGGTGAACTTTCATAAAATTGAGAAAATGTAATATTTCTTTACTATCATTTTCTTACACATTCTGAAAATACTGTTCATGATACTGACTTTAAAAGAGGGTATTTAAGGTGTTACTGTAAACAGCAAATACATAAGTTTTTCTTTTAAAAAGTACATTTTCTCTAAGAAAAGTCATGAAGAATTTCACAGATTTTCCCATAAAATCTTAAACTACAATTATAAAAATGTATTGCCTTTAAAGTTGTAATTGTGGGCAACATAAAAATATTAGAGAAATACACATAAAATTATGTGTTACAAAAGAAGTAAAGGAGCCATTGGTGTAGGTAAAATTTTCCATATTGACGAAAGCTAGCAAAGCTTTAAATGTTTTTAGAAAAAATAGTAAGTGTTCCATGATGATTTGACAAGGTTACGGAGGAGTCATTAACTTTCAAAGTCAGGTTGTAATTATTCTTTTGGCTAGTATTAGTAAACTTACAAGCAATACTAGAGATGATGATGATGATCTTACAGAGGTCAGCCACCTGGTTTCACTTCACCAGAAATAGGCGACAGCTGAAAGTAAATTTCTAGTAAATAATTTAAATTGGCCCTTCACTGACTTGTCTTCCCAAAGTGTTTATAATAACTGTGTAGTTCTTTCAGGTGTTTAAAGGAGACACATATTGGTAGAAAAAAGAATCCACAGTTTTAGAATATCAGTAAACCATGTCTGCACTTGGTGTTTTTTTCCACACACAACTTTGACCTTATGAAAATTAATCTATCTCCCCTGGATTCAGTTTATTCAACTGTTTTTGTTTGTTTTTTTTAAGGAGCAAAACAATACTACTTGCATCCAGCATAATATATTGTTATTTATGTTGTATTCTTTATTATGCCTGGAATAAGTAAGCACAGTGCTGTATCAATTTATTTTTTTCAAGCAACAGTTACTGTATACTTTGTACACAACAAACATGAAAAGAGGCTTACTTAGTAGTAGTAGTTATGACTTCTTATCTAACTCCTACTCTGGTTTTTCTTAGAAAGCATGCTTTAAAACAAAATAAACTATATCCATCCAGCATTTCTTACCAGGATTGAGCATACAGATAAATAGATCACTTACTTCTCTAAGAGGCTTCAGGCTCTGAGTTCAATCAGGCATGAAAATATAAATAATTGTGAAACGTATATGAAAAAAAATGTTTTGTTTACCCATTTAAGTTTATTACCAAGTTCCTTTCTCTTGTGTGTCAAGCAGAAGAGGAACCAGAGGCTGACAACAATGTCAATGTGTATGTGGTGCCAGCTTTACACTTGAGATTCATTTTCTTCTGATTTACATACATGTTTGCTAATATTCTAAACTCAGGCTTAAAACATCCTAAAACAGAGGTCTGTAAGTAAGATTGCTCAAAGGGTTGTCATAGTGCTCAAGACTTAAATATGAAAGTGATGAGAAAATTGCTAAGGGAAATAAGTGGGATTTCCATATGACGGGCACCAAATGCCAGGGAGCTTTTAGAAGCAGGGTGAGCTGAGAAAGCTACTGCCAAGACAGCTGTGGCTCTGACTGATTAAATGGCATTGAGAGGCTATGCAGAATGATGAGTCCCTACTGAAAAATTCAACAGATTAAGCTAGAGAAAATGTGGTTTAAGAGTAACGTGTTCAATAAAGCTATTACAAGTCTAGAGGGTCTTGTTGCAAGTTTTTGGGTTTTTTTTTTTTTAAACAGATCACTTAAAAAAGAAACTTATACTCCCAGGGAAATGCACCAACATATGCTGATTTTAATACAATTCTATAAGGACCCTGAATTTCAGGCCAAGAATCCATGAAAAGTATCTTTCAAGGGAAAGATATGAGAACATTTATTTGAACTACAGAGTTAGGATTTTAGTTTGACTAAGAAGTTGTCTTCAATAATTAAAACACAATCAAATATAAAATGCATCACATTTTTAAAAATTTGGAAAAAAGCAAACTTTCCTGAAACTTTAAATACAAGAAAGTTTGAACAATGACAATTGTTCTCATCCTCTGTGATGTGTCCAGCTTACAGCTTTAAAAAGTGAATTCTGTCCTCTTATCCTGAACATGATAATGTGATCAGTATAATGTATACCACTTCTCTGGATGTCCTCACATTTATGAGGCTTTTAGTGTTACCTCAGTTGTGTCCTGAAACACAGATCTCAATACCTAAAAACTCCACATTTTTGAAAGAGCATGCCTGTTTAAGGAAAACGTCTTGAGCATAGATATCCACTATGAGAATATAAACATATGTACCTCTGTACTAATATTTTATGTAAATTATTGAATATATGCAAAGGAATAAAATGAAATAAATTAAGATAAACAGTTATGCTCTAAGTTTCCCAAGGGACTCCCTTGCACATTTGGGTATGTATACCTCATTTAGGAGAACAATAATAAAACATCCTAGGCTACCCAAATGTCCTTGTCAGGAAAAAAAGGGAACATTTTGTTGGGGGAGAAGGATAAGGAGAAACTTAAGTGGAAATTTCAGTATTCCTACTTACAAAGAATTGCATCATAACCCATCTTCTCTAGTTACATTAATGAGAAAAAGTACCCTGGAGGCAAGAGGTAGGTCAAACTTTATAATGTGTACAGTTCCTTTCGATGTGATCCATTGCGGCCTTTGTAAAATGGATGGTTGCTCTCTGGCGTAACTAAATGGATTTGTGGTGAACAAATACATAGATAGTGAACATATTTTGTTGAGGTGGGTGGTATGATGGGAGGGTCTCAGTGCCCTGCCACTCTGGTTGTTAAAGGCAACTCCTCTGGGTAGAAAGTTGTGTGTTTCACAGGTGAATATTTGTGGCTCATGAAGGTTTTGTTCAAAATTCCTCATCGAGTCCAGTAATGGTGGTGCACGTCTTTAATCGCAGCACTCTCAAGGCATAGGCAGGTGGAACTTTGTGAGTTTGAGGCCAGCCTAGTCTACAAAGTGACATCCAAGGCTACACAGAGAAACCCTGTCTCAAGAAAAAAGAGAGAGAGAGAGAAAATCCCCATTGAGTGAAAAGTCTAGATGGATTTTATTGTGAAGCATGTGACAAAATGTTGCCTCTCAAACTCAAGGTCTAATTCCATCTGACTGTAGCTTCGAGATGTTACAGATGCCCTTTACATAGATATTTCATCATATGAACTCAACAGTGAGCTTACAACAATGAGCAGACTTTCATCATCTTGAACATAATGAAACAATGACTTTAAATTCTAACTAAAAAGTCATATATAGCTATGAAGCAAGGAATAAATTAGAAATCTTGCTTCAGTGATTTAATGCAAATTAAAAAACAAGAAACGATGTGCTAAACGCACTCCATTCAGAAACATGGCTACCAATATTTTTAAAATATCTTAACATCTATACAAATAAAAATACATACCTAGATATCAATTGTATAGTATTAGTCAAGCTATACTGGGATCCATGTGGTCTTATTAGAAACTAATTCAGGATTCTGACTTTGATCCCTCTACATAGTAAGCAGAAGCCACCTCTGTCTTTGGGTTCGTGGCTGTGGCTGAAGTCCGTGGGTCTTACTGCTATGTCTAATCTTAGTTTTCCTCCAAGAGACTGTGTACTCAAGTCAGTGCCTTCATATTTGGTTCTTACTCTATTTAATATTTCTCCTTAATTGTATCTATCACACTATAGTACTCACTTTTCACTTCTGTTTACAGTCCTGGTGAATTCTACCCAATTAATATCATTCTTTTGTGTCTGGCCATCTGAGCAATTTTTTTTTTTTCCTCAAGAAGCCAGGTCCCAGATATAACTGCATGTTTTTATAAATTCATTGCAGGTCAAATCTGTGATTGGTCAGTCTCTTTCAACAATGCATTCAAGACCATCAGTTTTTTTACAGTTTTACTCCTGCCTGATCCAGGACCAGTACCTATTAGCTACATCTAAAGTAAAATTTCTCACTGATGTTCTTAAAACATCTTCCAATGTAATAAAATAAGTTATGAACCAGAGATACGGCTCAGTGGAAAAGGGCGCTTGCCATCAAGGCTGCTGATATGACTTGGATCCCAGAAACCCACATGGTAGAAGAAAGAGAATGTATTCCATCCAGCAAGTTGTCCTCTGACCTCAAGATGAACCCCATGGTCTATGTGCATGCGAGCATGCATGCATGCACGCGCGCGCGCGCGCGCGCACACACACACACACACACACACACACACACACACACTAAAGAAAGGAGAGAAAGAAATGTTTTGAAATAGCTAAAAAGAAAACATTTAGAAGTGATTTTGTACAGGAATGACAACAGATTTCATTATTCTGTTCCTTAAAATAACTGGTCCTTCTCTTCCACAGTCCCATTGGAATATACTTATTTTAGACATCTTTAGACATCATCACCATCCCTCTCAAAGGAAAACATAAATCGCTACATTTTTTTAAAAAGTGTCAAAAAAAAAAAAAAGGCATACAGGGGCTGGCGCAATAGCACTGGGTGTGCTTCTAACAGATCCAATTCT